GATTGACAGTTAAACATAGTTGATAGAATAAATTACAATAGGCGGGAAAATATAAGGACACATGTATTAGGGCGCCAGGAAGAAACATTGAGTGTATTTAGTAAGGAACTGGAAAGATAATAATAAGATTGTTTGATTACTACAGGAAACAACCAGAAACACACTAGTCACCACTACCTAGTAAAACAATAAAACACTGGTACTGGCGGCCTTAAGACTGTGCTGGGTGCTAGCCACCCAGTCCCACAGCCAGGAAAACTACTTGACCAAGATCCGAAGACCAAGGCAAGCAGTCAAAGAGAAAAAGAAGTGGAGTGGTTGGTACCTAAACACCTAACAAGTTAGGCTGGCCAGTCAACCGGAAGACAAGAACAAAGAAGTAGGGCGTGTCTGCAAGAAGAACTGCAGCTAGTTGATACCTTGACAGCAGAGTTATGGTTCCATGTTACCAAGCATAGCTTCTCCACTGCAAGGGTGAAGAACCTGACGCATGTAAGTACCTGCGTCAGGTAAGTATGCTGTTGTTTGCGCCGCTCACCTTATATACGCGATGATGATGAGACGCGATTGTGGTAGTTCGGGGGTTTCCCTCTTGTCTTGAATGTCATGTGCCGCGATCTAGAGAGTGAGAAAGTATGTTAGTCAAATTATATGTAGTCGATTCAGTTCATAGTTGAATGAAAGCACGCTCACAAGGTGTAAAATATCGACATTGGATAATAATAAAGTGTTACAAGTCATATGATATGTATGTTACATATGCATGAGACTGAGCCGTGATTATATTTCACGTGCTATTCGAGAGTATGGTGTTAATATAAATCTATCGGCATGTGAAAACCCCCGTGTACTTAAGTGTGTGTGTAATCTTTTAATAACCTGGAGATTGTTTTATAGTTTGATTTGTTTTTGAAATAAAAAAATGTTCTTCCCCGAGTGGGGAAGGGGCCGTACTCGGATGTAGTGCAATACCGAGACAACCCGTGGCCAGGGCGAAGCAAGCTTCAATCCCATGGCCGAAGTCCAAAAATCAGTTTAATATATGAGTTAGGCATTGCCTAACATATCAGATATTAAGCTGATAAGAACAGATTGTAACAAATTTATTCAAGGTCAAATGAAATTATTTACAGATTTCTAGAAAGTTACTATATAAGCAGACTATAAACACAGCTGTTATGATATATAAGATAAATGAGAAAATTACTAATCTCATTGGTGAAATAGTGTTCACTAATAAAGTTTCATTCCTAAGTTAATAATTAATAATGTTTATCAACGTCATTCCTACTAATATTGAATTGTTCATTACTGTAGCGATTGTTTTTTGGTATTTGTTAATGCTAATTCCTAAAAGTATATGATACAGACAAGAAGGACACAAGGAGAAAGTTGATTTTACAACAATGAAGTATATATATATAACTATATATATAAAACTCTACTAATCCAAGTTCGTCAGATTGTCACTATATACTATATGGTTATAATATATTTCCGCCGAGCCTCGGATGACATCGGAGCAGCACAGCTTTCTGAAGAGGGATTTATACGACCTTGACATTCTCAGCTGGTTTAGTACGGCTTCGTTGTTAGGATGCCACGCACCAAGAGCACCGATTACGAATCCAAAGACATTACACTTAAATCCCAGTTGGTGGAAGTGTTGTTTGAGGTGGTTGTATTTCGTCACTTTATTGAAATCAGCATTGGCTAGCGCATCGTCACCGTTCTCGAAGGGACAGGTTACATCAATGATAGTAACTTCTTGACCGTCTTGGATTACTAAGTCAGGCCGGCATTCGTCTCGAACTCCGACAACCTGCTGGTCAATTCGGACGTTACCAAACCTAACCGCTTTACTCAAACGCTCAACAACGCTGTTATGTCTATTTCGGATGCTGACCATGTTGGTTTCACAATGACAAATGACATGAGGGAGGGTTTCGGGATGGGAGTTGCATACACGGCACAAGTTTGAACAGTCGGACCAACGAGATTTGTTTTGGTTAGTGGGAACGACATTTAACCTGGCACGGTGAATAAACCGCCAATCTTTGAAACGTAAGTTAAGCCCAGAGTATAACCACGAGGAGCCGTTGCTGAAGGCATCTTTAATTAAGGCTCTTGCAACTTTACCTTGATCTGGGAGGGCCATCAATTTAGCAGAGGCACGTTCTTGAGTAAGGTGGTGAAGGAAAGTAGCCGATGACTTCGCCAGGCAGGGACCTTTCGAGTTGGTGGAAATAGAGGGGGCTTCGAAGTCCGGGACATTGAATGTTATATCAAGTCTACGACAGGCAGACCTTGCTCTGGTCCAGAGGGAGTGGGTTCTGTAACGCATTCGATCAGGATGGAACTTTCCGCGAGTGGACCCAGACATGAACTCACTGACCAGTGCAGGAGATGGCTCCGCTTGAACGGCAAACCTGACAGCTTTCCTGAGTTCACCTTTGGCAGTACCAGACACAAAGGGGTCGGAGGATGAGAGCATCTTGATCGCTTGTACAATCGTTTGAATGTCAACCTCAGTAGTAGGGTCTTGAAAACCCAAACCGCCGGCTTGCGAAGAGGCGAAGATAATGTGTGATGTCGCTCTCAAGGGTAGATGACAAATTGATCGAACCACTTCAATCAGCTTCTTCTTATACTTGACCAACGATTGTTTTTGGGGCTCACCGGCACGTAGTGCAAAAGTAAGGCAGGGCTGGACGAACGTTCTTATGGCATCCAACTTTTGCCAGGGAGCCAGTAAGGAAGCTCGAATTCTCTCTAAATCGTTGCACAAGTCATCAACCAACGAATCAAGACTATCAATGTCACGTAACATACCAATGGGAACGCCAAGATATCTATAGTGGTCATGTTCTTTGAGTGCAGGAATTACCTTGGCTTGAACTCGAAACTCATTTAGTTCGATGTTGTTAAGGAATCTCTTGTTATATGTCATGCTAAGGGAAGCACATTTGTCTTGGCGGAATTCAAGACCTATCACATCGGCTGTCGAACTAGCTGCATCGAGGAGTTGTTGAAGTTTCTCTTTACTCTTAGCTATGATTACGAGGTCATCAGCATACGCCAGAACTGATATCTCACCATTGAAGTGCTTTGTGGGGCCGATAGTGTGACCTTTCATCGATATGGCGCGAAGGATAATCTCAATGCACAGGTTGAATATAATTGGAGATAAGGGACAACCTTGTTTCACCCCAGCGTTAACAGGAATATTGGGAGTGGAACCATTCGGCGTTCGGACTTCAGTGAAGGCATTCGTATAAATATTTTTCACCAGATTCACCACCGAGTCAGGGACACCAAGATGAGATAAGGTGATAGTAATGACATCGTGTGGGATACTACCAAATGCATTGCGTAGGTCAAGCCAAGCAAGGAATAGGTTCTTCTGATGACGCTTCGCATCAAGGACCAGGGATTGAAGGATGAACGTGTGTTCATAGCAGCCCTCCGAGGGTCTAGCACTTTTCTGCGAACTGGAAAGGAAATTGTTTTCGATGGAATATTTCACCAGGCGGTTTGCCATAATGCTCATAAACAATTTGTAGATGCAACTCATAAGAGCAATTGGGCGGAAGTTGGAAACATCGCTTGCATCACCTTTCTTATGTATGAGAACAGTCCGAGAAGTTTTCCACTGAGAGGGGA